TTCAGCGATGCATGGACATTGTGTTAAGACCTGTTCTTGGAAAGTCCACATTTATCTATTTAGACGATATCATTATTACTAGTGATAATCTCGACCAACATGTACAGGATTTAAGACAGGTGTTTTCTTTATTAAATGAGGCCGGTCTAAAAGTTAATGTCGAAAAGTGCAAATTTGCAGCCCCTGAATTAAAATATTTAGGTTACAAAATATCGCAAAAAGGGATCGAGACAGATGAATCAAAAATAATCGCTGTACAAAAGTATCCGACTCCAAACACGGCAAAGAAGCTCTCTTCTTTTCTAGGACTTTGTTCATATTATAGGTCCTTTATAAAAGATTTTGCGGCTATCGCTGAGCCATTGTTAAAATTAAAAAGGAAAAAGGCAAGATTCTCGTGGACGGCCGAAGCCAATAGTGCTTTCGAAAAATTAAAACAAGCATTAACGCAAGCCCCTGTGTTGAAATTTCCTGAAAAGGATGAAAATTTAGAAATTTCAGCGGATGCTTCGGATTATGCGGTAGGAGCGGTACTTTCGCAAAATCAGCAGCCCGTGGCATTTTTTAGCCGAACTTTAAATCAAACACAAAGAAACTATTCCGCGACCGAGAGAGAGGCACTTGCAGTTCTGTTAGCAGTGCAAAAGTTCCGAGTCTATTTTGGAAAGGCGCCGATAACAGTATATTCTGATCATGCGGCGGTAACTAGATTGTACTCAGGGAAAAATTTATCCCCAAGGTTAATAAGATGGGCACTCAAGCTGCAAGAATATAATCTGGTAATCAAGCATACCCCCGGAAAGGAAAATATCGTAGCAGATGCCCTATCACGAATTAAATTAGACGAACAGGGTAATACCGTAAAAGTTGCAATGCTGACAGCGTGTACAATAAATTCCCGAGAAACTGTAATAACCGAACTGGGTAAGGATCCTGAGTTTGGAAGTATTTATGAGTATTTGAAGGATCCTGAAAATTTTAGCCACCAAGATATTGTGGCGATAAGAAATAGGGCGGCCCATTACGAACTAATAGATGGTCTATTATTTTATACAAAAACTACGAATTCCAACAACGAATTTCGACCTGTTATCCCAGCTAGTCTTAGATTAAATATCCTGCAAGAGCTCCATGACAGCCCTTTAGCTTCTCATGCTGGTATTCGAAAAACTATCCAACGCGTACGCGAGGCAGTCTACTTTCCTGAACTGCAAAAGTTAACAAGGGCGTATGTCCAGTCCTGCCCAACATGTCAAGCCGTTAATTATATTAATTTCCGCCCGGCCGGGTTTCTAAATAGTATTAAATCCGAATTTCCAAATGAAATAATTGGCATCGATTTATTGGGCCCTTTCCCAAAAAGTCAGTTAAATAAAAGTCGCTATCTCCTTGTTATGGTTGATCATTTTAGTAAATGGACCGAAATTGTTCCCTTAAAACGAGCCTCCGCGAAATTAGTTACCGATTCTATTTTAAATAAATATATTTTAAAATACGGGGCGCCCCTAAAAGTTATATCGGATAATGGTCCTCAATTTGTAAGTAATATATTTGAAGACATGTGCCAAAAACTGGGCATACGTCATTTAAAAATGGTCCCGTATCGGCCGCAATCAAATATAGCGGAACGGGTCAACAGAAATATAGTGAAAATTATCCGTAGTTATGTTAAAAATTTTCATAAAAGCTGGGATAACTATGTCAATGAATTTGCTTTCGCCCTTAGGACCGCAAAACATGATACAACGGGCAAAAACTCCTGCTGAGTTATTTCTAGGCAGAAAGATTATAACACCGTTAGATAAATTATTTTATGTGCAACAAAGAGCCCCAGAATTTAAAATGGGTGATATAGAAAAACTAATAAAAGAAGCAAAAAAGAATACGGAAGTAGCACAAAGAAAACAGAAATTATATTATGATTGAAACGACGGGGAGTAACTTATAAAGTAGGGGATGAAGTTTTAAAAAATTAAGCATTCACTTTCTTCAGCACCAGAAGATAAAACTGCCAAATTTTTTCCACGATTTGAAGGACCATATGTTATAGAAAAAATAACTCACGCTGTTGTAGTGTTAAAGGCCAGAAATGGTGAAACCTGTTCCGCAAACATTGATCAAATCAAGCCCTACTTCGATCGTAATAAAATGCAAATCTTTTCAGATCTTTTGCAGGATCCGGCACGGCAGACACCGCAGGTACAAGTTCCAGAGGTGGAAAAAACGACAAGTACAAGGGCAAGCCAATGAGAGACAGAAGCAAGTGAAAAGAAAATTGCCCCGCGGAAAAATTGAAGGTACAAAGAAAAAGAAGCCGTTCCACCGTCCAGAAAAACAGAGTTCACGAACACCCCCAGAATGAAGAAGGGAGAAGGACGACGTATGTGAAGAGGACCAGGAGAAATGACGGCAACTATAACCCGGCTTTAAAACGGAAGATCTGACTCATCCGACAGAACTCTCCGCAGCAAAAGTCGCCGAACTGCGGAAGGGCCATCAGCGGCGGAGGAAAAAGTACAAGAAAAATTTGAACGGCCAACAACGAGGTCCAAGCAGGATCACGACAGAAGTTTCCCGGTTCCGCCAAGACCAGCTGCCTTCAAACGGCCAAGACCACAAGCAGAGGAGAAAAGGAAGGTGTTCAAGGGTGGCCGTACTGGTGAAAAACGGAAGCTTCCAGAGGAAAGCACTGAAGGGCGAGCCCGTACAAGAAGGAGGATCAAACCAAGCTACTATCTGCAGTACCTTTAAAGACTGGGCCCAGAAAAGGATGTCCGAATATTACAAAGATAAGTAAAATTTTATGTTACTTTGCAAACTTAAGTTAATCTTTCATTCTTACTGCAAGTGGCAGATTTCAAGAAGTTTTACCTCATGCGAGGTCTACCTTTATCGCCAAAAGGGCGAGAAATGAGTTGTGACCGATTTTCTTATTATGTTTTTCAATTACTCGCGCGTAAAACTAAAGTTGATGTATAATAGCGTTGTGTAAAGACTTAAATATTGTAAAAAGTTATTGTATAAATTTTATTTAAAACATTCTAGCAAGAAAGAAGTTTTAGTCTGAAAGACTTTTTGAAATGTAGTATTATTTCAATGTAGAAAGAATTGGCACTTGCTTTGAAAAGAATAGAAGTTAACAATGTACTACTAATGTATGTTTTCAAATGTGTAAAATTAACGGCATGTTGATATGTTCTTATATACATGTGAACTGTTATTTTAAATGTTAAGAAATACCGTGATATGGTAAAAGTGAAAGTAATGTTAAAAATTTGTTATTCGTGTGACTGTAAAGATTAAATCATGGCGAATATGTGTTAAAGGTTGAATGATGTAGTTAGGCTCTCTGACGCTACACTTTAGAGTTAGCCACTTTTAGAATAGTACCTCAGGGTTTAGAGTTGAAATTAGGGTGTGTTAAGAGGTCTCGTTATGTTGAATTTTAACACGTTAGTGTTTTGATTGTAGGAGGAAGTGTGTGAACACGTAGACAGAAACACACATTCGTGTTTGGTGTTCTTTTACAACACATGTCAGAGAGCACGGGGAGAGATAATTAAAATAGTCATGAATGAAATAAGAATGTTAAGAGAAAGTATATTCTATATGTTATTTGCAATGTCATTGTGTAACATTTCATTAAACTAGTTTTCCTTCCAGATCTCTGGAAGGAACCAGAATTGAATAAAGCTCCTGTTTAGATGCAGTACAGATGAAAAAAAAAAAGATTGTTGTATATCCTGGGAGCTGCTATTGTAACAAATTTCTTTCTTTTAAATTTTCTAGTTTCTAGCGAAGTTATGATTTGTAAAAGGTTGGCCTCGCGTTAGATTCTAGAGCTAAAAGTTTTCAACAAGGTCGTTTTAGACCTCAGTTTCAAACTAATTAACTCTGGCGGGAAGTATGTAAGGATCTTAAGTTTTACTAACGTTTATTTTATTTTAAATCTTTACTATCACTTCTTATTTTCTACTTCCGGCCAGAATTATAAGCGTGAAGGAGTTTTATGCAAAGTTTGTCTGGCGAACGCCAAGTATTTAAGTGTGGCCTTTTTGCCAAGCAGAAGAGAGGAAGCAGTGAGTTCGAAGCAGGCCGCTTACCTTAGAAGTTACGCAGTTGCTATTTGCCTTCCAGGCCAGAGGTTTTAATCCTCTTGATAAATTAAACGTATTGTAGTGTTCACAGTCTCTGTGCTACATACGCTTCCTGTTATTATAAGGCCAATCTTCCACGTTCTAAAAGTTAAATTAGAGTTTAGTTTTATTTTTATATCTTTTACGTTAGACCCCGAGTGGAGGGTCATTGTATTCCGAAGTACGGAAGTCATTGTATATAAAGAAAAAATAAAGGGTTTTGTATACCCTTCGTCTGTATCCTGTCTACTTACTACAATTAGTGAACATAGCTTTAGTAAGCTCTCTGTTCCTAGTCAGGTCATTGTATGTTTCCGAAGAAGGTTAGAAGAAACATTGAACCTGATAGCATTTGCTTTTTATTTAAAAAAAAGAAGGCTATTTTATCTATGTATAAAAAGAAAAGCCTCCTTTTAAACAATTTTAATCTGGAATTTTTTTTCGATTCAATTTGTAAACTTTACATTTGATAAAAATTAACATTTCAAAGCAAGCAATGGCAACGTTGTACAGAAAAAAGCACTTTTATCTCCAGCGCGCGAGACTGTGCATCCGAAATTTTAAATTTGCGATACTTCTGTTGAATTGAATTTTATGATTTAGGTGCGAAGAACATATTTAATAAATAAAGGTAATACACGAAACGTGGGGAAAAAAAAGCCCCTTTGGACATAATTTAAAATCTGAAACATTCAGATTTAATTTTTTTTATTATTTTTAATTATAGTTAAAAAGTCAAAAGCTCAGAGAAAATTATGAGTCCTCATATGTGTTTATCAAAAAAGGGATCTATTGTTTTTTTTCTCTTTGTGCGTAATGTGCGAGAATCTTTGCGTAGTAAAACTTATTTTTTGTTCTTTTAAGATGTACTTTCCTGATCTTGGAATGCCAAATAAAGAGTATTATTTAGGAATTACAAATGATTCCGTCGCAGACACTTACTTCAAATTAATGGTAGCATCAGCTAATTGGCATCAGCTAATTGGTGCAAATAAAACAACATCGGAAGAAGAACTACGAAAAGTTTTCAATTTCGAAATTACACTTGCTAATGTAAGTATAAAAAGTTCCTAGTTTTATTGCTTATGCATTAGTGTTTAGCAACTAAACTATCTTTTCAATACGAAATTTATTATATATCACTCGATTATTTTATTTTGTGCATATTATTTTATTGTAACCCATTTAGAATTAGTTATCAGAAAATTTCATCGGCATTAATTTGGTAAGGATGCAAGAAAGAAAATTTGTACAATTACGATTATTTTGCATAAATTAGTTATTCATAATTTCAGCCTTTACCATCATTTCTCCCTTTAGTTTCCACATTAGAATGCCTCTCGAGGCCACATTAATAGGTTTCGACAGCTCTGATAATATTGCAAAGATTCGGTTTTGCACTATTGCTGCTGAAATTTAATTGCTACGGGGAGAAGTTCTGAGCCAAATTAAAATTAAAGATAAATTGTTTAGTGTTTGATTACTAGGCTATGTTTTAAATTTAGATTTTGACTGATACTTTAGTTTTATAGCCACAAGTGGCGGCTGATTCTGTTAGCATGAGAAGTTCATTTATGTTCAAAGTCTGTTTTAATAAAAAGGTTGCATAAACCTTTTCATGATTCTGTTGTCACTTCAGGCACAACGATAATTCGTGCGAAGTCTATTAGGAATCTAACTCTAGTTTATGTTACCAAAGTATATGCATATCCATAAATGAACTCAGTAGAATTCACCTAGCAATCAACTAAATGTGCAGTACTCAATGGCCGCATTACCAGAATCACTGGAATATCTAGGTCAGTTATTGCTAAAGGCTTCGTCGAGGTTTCGTCTATTTTCTAATTTCTGTTAGATCATTTGCACCGCTAAAATGATTCATATTTAAAATAAAGAAAGTTTAATTGGACTGTTTTGAAGATTACGAAACACAAAATTGTAACTTATCACTACCAACTTATGGATAACAAGTTAGAGGGGAAATTAGAGAGGGAATTAAATTTGCGTTTTGGGAATTAAATGTAATTCTGTCAAAGTTTCATATAATCTGAAAAGTATCTACGCACATAACATTCATATTTTTAAGCTCTGGTTGATGTAATGGAAGCTAAAGTATTTTCTCATACCCGTCAAACTCAGCATTCAGGACGCCTTTTCTCTAGGGATTCCTTTCAGCGCAAACGCAGACTTAAAGAATGTATTTTTTTAAAAACGTTGGTGAATTAGAAATTAGAGAAGCATGTTGTAACACTCTATATGAATTACAACTACATAGTAAAGACAATTACAATCTCAATAAAGTGTTACCAATGTTCTGTGAGTTTATTTATCACCATTAGAATATCTAACTAACCAACGAGTGACTAAATTAAAATATACAATAAAAAAGCTACTAGCCAATCTGGACTTGCTTTCAGCACAAAGTTTCTCACTCACGTTTCGGCAGTACGCTCAAGTTTCCTATTACAAAGGATATAAATTCAACAATTTAAATCTAACCTACAAAGATTATATGCTTTTAAACTCTTCCTAGACCTATAAAGAGTTTTAAAAGCATACATTACTAAGCAAGAGCTAACTACAGTCTACAATATTCCCAGCAAAATCAATTATTTATAAGTACCCATGATTATCGTATTTAGTATTATATTAATTTGAGAAGCTTTGCAAGGGAAACCTACAAATGCATTTTAAAATGATCTGCATTTATGGTCTAGTATAGTGTTTCTTAAACTGTGGGTCGCAACTTCCAAGGGGGTTGTGGGACCTGCAGCAGGGAGTCGCCAAAAATTTTAGCAGTTTTGATATTTCTTTAACTTATTATAATAATTTTACAATTATCAAATATTTTTATACAGTGTATCTGAAAATAGATAGAGATAAGACAATATAGACAAAGAAAAAAAAACGAAAACCTTTCGACGCATTCTTTTTGTAATATAAACGTTCATTTTCCTTGCTTTGCACGTGACGCTGTCATTTCGTCTGTTACTTATTTAAAATTTTCACATTGTTCTATGTCTTAAAATTAGAAATTAAAGTTAATGACCTAAAACTGCAATAGTATATTATAGTACAAGTGAAAAAATTGATAGTTTCACTCACGCGTGTGTCACATTTGCGCAATACTTATGGGTTCCCACAAAATTTTTGTAAATATTATGGGGTACTGGGGGTAGCGAAAAAATCTCAGTTATAAAAAGGGGTCGCGACTGAAAAAGTTTAAGAAACCCTGGTCTAGTATATAAATAAAGCAACCATGCCAAATGTCCATTAGGGCATAAAAAATGGAATCCAGTACGAGATACAAATTCTTATCAATGGTGGTCTTTCAAGAGATTCGCAGATTAATGAGCCTCAACTTGCCTCATCGCAAGATACACAGGCAAATCCAAAAACCAATCTTTCTACAACACATATATGCTCCTCATGAAAAGTGGTTATTGATCTTGCAGAATTGGTTATAGTTTAATTACCTTGTACATTCCTGAATGTTCACTGCTGATTCTGTTCAGCGAGCAATCAACATGTGCGATTCATGTACGACATGAATATATTTTGCATCCTTCCTACAGATTCCTTAAATTTGCTAGCGATCTCAGGAATATCTTCACCTATATTACAGCTAAAGATTAGTGCACCCATCTTCCTGCTACAAAATCTGTATCCTTCTTCACTGTGCAATGCAACAAGACTGTAGTCAAACAATTATTTAATAATGTTATTGAGACTTTTATTATCACTGGACTACCTACAGGAAATGAAAGCTATATGAAGAGTTATTTTCAGTCTGTCAAATTTTCCATTTCAGTTCGAACGCCTATAGTCATAGTATTTTCCATTAGTTTTACAAGTCTACTATTAAAGGCCTCAATTAGATCTCAAACGCATTCAAAGTGATTCGATTAGATCTAAGAAATACATATTTCTCGCAAAAAACAACTACACTGACATGCAAAGTTTAAGAACGAGACTGTTCGTAACGCCGTCCAGCAGTGTTCCACACCGACACAAATCATACAATAAGATCCCCAAGATGTAAATACATGGGACAAGTGACAAAAGCCACTCTAACTAGGAATAAAAAATAAAAAGGCACTTTCTTGAAAAGATAACTCCGATCACGCATGGCGAGAAGACAGAAATATTCATGTGACAAGCGCCTAGTATAAAACTCCCAGTCTTTCGAAGGGAATATGAATACTGCTGACTACGATGTAAAAATTACAACGTCTGTTCGTACGGAGGACAAGACTGTCAAGAAGCTGTTAAGCATCTCCACTCATTCTTCTTGAACGCTAATTTTAACTTGGAATCCGTTGCTGGAGGCTGGCCATGTGCTGCCAAGCATCTTCCGAGAAGGTCCCGCACGTGGTTTATGGGATTTAGTCCCGGGGACCTTGCAGGTCAATTCATGAGTTAAATACATTCACTCTTCAAGAGCTCTGCCACAGTAATTGTAGGATGAGGTGTAGCATTGCTGTCCATGAAGAAGAAACTTGCACCCACAGCACCTCTAAATAGACGCACATGAGACAACAGATCCTCGATAAAATAGCGGACACCAGTGACTGAAACTGCTAGGGAGATGTGAAGGTCAATACGGCTACCAAGCATGATACCATCCCCAAAAAAGGTCCTCGACAGCTCCTAAACGGTCTCTTTCGATTGTGTTTTGGGGATGCTTTCCTGTCCCCTTCTCTTCAGATGTGTATACGCCCAGATTCGCTCTTCAAACTAAATTGGTTCCCATTCGTAAAGAACACTCTATTCCTGTTGTATACAGTTCTTGTGTTCCCGGCACTACAAAAACTGGCGTCTCCGATGAGCAGGCGTTAATGGTACACACCCGTATCAATAGTCGTGTTTATGGACCGCGTTTGTTCAGCCTCCTGTTTAAGTTAAAATGTGATAGCGGATGTTCAGTGCTCTGTGGCATGTGCCTTGCGATATCTCCCTCTGTCTGCCACCTGCCTTTTCTCGCGAATAGGATAATATACTGGTCGTCTACAGCCGCTGTTCCTTGTGAACGGCCACTCCTGAACGCTCGAACAGCTGTTCTTATTACCTGGAATTTTGTCAAGGCTCCTAACGATGCTGTGAGTGATACAGTGCCTCCAACTAATCCCAGCAAACTATATCCGGCTAGTGTGCCCCCGCTACACTTGTCGTACTTTCTTCTAGCTCCCCTATGATATGACCTCGGGTAAACTCATCCTGATGACGTCTTCTGACCATATCACACTGTAGTAGCAACTCAACCGTGCAATGTTTTCAATGAATTGCTCAGCGTATACCATCTGTATCCGACATCCATTCCGACAATCAGTCCTCTGTCCCTTACTCTGTCCATATATGGACATGCCTTATTGCATTGGTCCCAAGACAATCTTTTGATTGGTTTTTCGATCCGTTTAGTTGCTTTGCTCCGTTATCAGTAATTTCTCCGCCTCGTACTGAATTTTTGTTCACCAGTGTATAAGTCCGCTGTTTACGTGTAGAAGCGAAGAATATCTTTTCATCTAATCGAACAAAGAATCACTCTTAGTATTGTCTACTCAGAGGCACTTTACGATTTCAGGAATTATATAAAAAAATCAAAACAAGGTTTTCAGTGAGTGTTTAATGTAAAATTTTTGTGAAGGAGAAGCAAGAAAATATTGAAACCTTTAGCCTGGCATGCATTTGCCGAGACGAATATCTATTTTGCTCTTATTTTTTAAATCTTTGAAATTACACTAGAGGAATTCATTATGATTATTATATGTTTTTTTTTCCTTTTCTTCGTTTTCATAATAATTATTTTAGGTGGTTAGTAGCATCAAATTTGCAAACTGAAATTTTCAGTAAGCTGTACGAATACAATAAAACCTAAGTAACTAATTAAGTCATAGGCCATATGAATAGTCATAGGCTGTTGTGAAATGAACTGAAGTAATAACCGGCGCGAGGCGCTGCTGTTTGTGACGTCAGCCTGCGTGCTGAGTGTTTCGAATGTTTTTGCTTGTAGACGAACGAAAGCTGATCTCGGAAGAGTGATACTGTTTTGATGG